GCAAATAATTGTTGATTTTAACAATTCTATCCCATAACAATACGCACTTTCCTTACGTCCAAACGTCCTATACTTCTGAGGAGAGTAGTATGTTTATATCTTAATACAATTTATATTATTTATTGGACAGTAAGAGATACGCCAGATGAACTGGACTTGTTTAGATTTTTTTGTATCATTTTCAAGAGAGCGGCAGAGGCGGAGGAAGGCTCTGAGCTCCCTATTATATATTTTAAAAGCATAAAATATATATTTTCTTTTACTTCCTGCGTTTTTAGGTGGTTATGATAGCTGTGAGAGGAGCTATATACCAACATAACATAAACCTGGCACTACTCCTCACCATTCTTTCCAAACCGCACATTCTTCTGTCATTTCATAGTATTTTATATGATCTTTAATATTCACAGAGTCTTGTGATACGAAATAAAACGGAAATGAAGTTATTTATTGTTTTATCAGTTTTGGAGTGGGCCGGGATTGCTGACTTTGGGCTCGAATCGCCGACTCACTCACTGTCAGTCTGTGGACTGCAGCTCATTGTTTTCTTGCAGTGCCTATCACGCAAGTTGCCCATCCTAACCAATACAACATCATTCACAATGATTTCAAGTGTGTCAAGTTGAAATAAAAAGTAGTGCAAATAACAGTCCTTGATAAATTTATTAAGTTGCTAAACTTAAGAAAGAGAACATCCCAGTACCACAGCTCTTTGAAAAAGCGAACAAATGTCCGTCAAAAAATATAGTAACAAGGATTGGAGGAGGAGAAATCAATGAGTGCCTTGTCAAGTTGGTATGCTGTGAAGTTATCACACCTAATGTACATGTATCATTTGCAGTCCTTGCAGTTGGCAGTGTCCTTGATGGATTTACAAGCCCAGCAGCGGAGAAAGGCATGCTTGCCATTGTTGCGTCTTGCAGTGGGACCTGCTCAATTGGTGGTACCTAGTCCCACCTTTTTAAGGGAGGGCTCCCATTGTACAAAATTTTTTGTCTCTCAGTTTTAGGTGAGGTTGTCCGGAGAAAAGACCCTTCACACGAACAAGCACAGCCCTTGCCACGTTGCTATGTAAGCTCCCAAACTTTCACAATTAATAGAACTTAACTGGCTCTATCCAAATTCGTTTGATTTGTTAATTTATTGCATTTGGTTCATGAAATAATAAACGTCAAAGTTGTGCAAGATTTGGATCATATCTGTCCGCTGCACCAGATGGCAGTGTAAAATATCAACTAAACTCAAAAGCCAGCACATTAAACACAGTTTAAACTGTATATTCTCTTCATTTGACGGTGAATGATTCGGTTTTACTGTTGTTATTTGGTGAAAACACCAAATTCGGACTTTTTTCCTCACCCGAATGAGCACTGTGAAAGCTACTTGCGATTGTAAGCTCCACCAGCTTTACATCGAGTGCGAAATGGTATGATCTATGCATGCAAAAGTATAGAAGCAAAAGCGATGCGAATTGGTAGACTTTGTCTAACAAGAACTTTTGGAATCAAGCAAAAAACTCACGTTCTGGTGACAGAAGTCAAACCAAGCGAAATTCAACGTTAGTTTATGGACAGAACAATGCAATTGCGGAGGATCAAGGTTCAGGTGCACCTTTACAGAGTCTGTTCTTTCATTCACCTCCTATACAAAAGAAACAACGAGTACATTTGGATCAGGCATTATCCTTGATTCCAATCAATCAATATAATTAGAAGAGACCTTCTTTCACAAAGGGGAACACAAGGATTACGACATAGAACACGTTTTCGGACCAATGGGCCAAATAAAACAGACAGCCCTCCACCAGCCTCCTCCAAATAGACATTTCCAAGACAAAGACAGATCTGCAATGGGAGAACATATACAATTTATAGAAACTCTTTATTGATGTCTTGAACCCTCGCGTTCCATTCCCTCTCTCTGTGAACAATGGACAGTCAACCCATTCTGCATACCACAGAACAAAAACAAGTGTTTGGTGTTGCTGAAGTGGTTGATCTTTCATTCGTACTGTACCTGGCTGAGGATATTGAAGAGGAGGTGGTGAGGAACTCGTACTCGTCCAAGCCAAATAGGGCACACTCCCTGCGCCTATTGAATGACGAGGGTATTGAAGCGAGTTAGAAGAGGCTTGAGAGGCAGGACACAAACGTAAGATTGGGTGAAGCGGTGGTTTATTTGAAAGCACTAAATAAAAGGGATATCGTTAGATTTGCATCGATTTCCTGAGAATGCCTTACTCAATATCAAAGCACTAGAAGCTCTGGGCTTGGACGTCCTCACTCATTGGGGGGTGAGCGCACGTTGGTGGTGGGAAACGGATAAAAATGGCGACAGAAAAATCAATTGCGATTTATCACTTTGGGAGCCCTCCCTTAACAAAGAAGTTTGTGATTTGCGGCGTCCTCTTTTGGCGCTTTGAAGCTGTTGCTTTCTCGGCCTTTGCGGGACGGCGTTGTTGTTGTCAATTCAGTGTTGTGACTTGTTGAGGCAAGGTAACAACTGCAGCATTTTAGGAGAATGTGGCAACCAATCTGAATGAGGTGCTGAGTTTTGACAGTTATGCCTGCACCAGTGCAACAAAAGCACAGAAGCGTTTCAAGGACCTATGAAGAAGTTTAAGGCAGATGAAATGGAGGTGTGCTGAGTGCTTCTTATAATTCTTTGGACCCGCTGACATGGTGTGTTGTCTTTCCTTAATATTTTTACTATGTATCTAATGCCTTGACAAAAGATGCAGGATTCCTTTCTATTTGCACAGAGTTGGCAAAGAAGACTACCATAAAGTATTGAGCCGTGCGCACACTCAGTGTTCTAAGCAAATTTTTTGGCTAGACTCAACTCTTCATTGCAACGGATCCAGGGCCGTCAAGGTCTCACAAAACTCGGAAACAGCACATGGAGTCTTGTTTTATAGAATGGTTTGGTTGTGGATGTTGAGGACACTGGTGCAGTGACGGTGAAGTGATCCTCACTGTCAAGTTTTGACCGTTGTGCGCACAACAAACGACAAAAAAGTACTGCGTACGGCTCGATATTTTACGGTAAGTACAACTAAAAATGTGAATTGAACAAAGGTACAGTCTGTGATGCTGCAGTCAAATATCTATCAGAGAAGTGCAAGACGCCCAGAAAAAGAGCAATGAAAGCAGTGACACCACTGTCTACTAGGCATGGTTCTTCGTCAATAAAAACTGTTCCGCAAATCAAGATAATGGTTTCTTGTGACAATAAGGTGAAGGAGTTGGAAGTTCAAAGTAGAAAGCTTGTGTTGAACGCTCTAGTCAACAAACTCAGGCTATATTTTTAGTAATTTGTATTATTTACTGAATAAAGGAGTTCTAAGTGTCATCTTTGTCTGACAAGTCCTCCAAATATTATAGCCTTCCTCTGTATCAATTGGAGGCAAAGGAAATGAGTGTAGGTTACAAATATGGAGATTTTGTTAGATAGCCTGCACCAAGTTTGCATGTTGGTAAGTAAGCTTGTAACTGAGTAATAGACTCAAATAGGCTGCAGGTACAGCTTTTGATTCTTGTTGATGTCACCTAAGTGGAAACAATCAGTCATTTACCATTCCACAGTGACTTGAACTTGACCAATTGCCTTTTTGAAGTTGTCCTCCTCCCTTGACAACTGATATCTCCCTTGAAAGGACAAATGACCTTAAATTCAGGAATCAGTTGCATACATATGACTCCCGGTACAATAAGCTGTTGGATTCAACACTTTTGAGCACAAAAATGGCTCAACCATGCAAACTGCATTCAGTGTGAGCTATGCCTCAAGGCAGGATGTGGAGAGGTATGTTTTATATTTGACCATTGCATCCTCTGTGTTTAGTCTGCAAACATGTATTGCAAGAAGCCCTTACTGAAGATTCCAAAAAGGAATGTTCTTAATTACCAAGACTGGCTGGGATATCAAGTACCTGGAGCGTGTGGCCAGTGAAAAGGGAGCAGGCTGGACACTTGTTGTAGATGGACATGTCTTGATCTGCTCAAAACACCGAACCCATTTGGGAAATGCACAAAACCAAAATGCTGCTAAAAAGAGAGAGCCTGTGCTATGTGTGTCAGAGCTGAACAAAGGCTAGATTGGCCATTTCTCTCTCCTGAGCTCCCTTCAAGGGCCTTCCTCAAGTCCGAAACTATTGGAACTCTGACCGCTACATCCAATTTGAGACAAATTTCTCAGCTCTTGTTGCCAAGGTTGCAAATAGTGAAACAAAGACTGCTGGTGAGTGTGTATTTTCAAAGGAGGAAATTTGGCATCAAATGCAGGAGTTCTTGGATTCACAGTAAGAAGACAAAATGGCAAAATAAAACACAACGATTGCCATGAGAAAGTAGAAACAAAGAGACACAAAAAGAAAAACACAGAAAATATATTGAAGGGAGAGAGGAGGACCGTAGAACACTTAAAAAAATGAATGTGTCACTTTTGTAAGTCCTTGTCATGATATAGGTCAATTCCAAAATACTTCTCTTTTTTTGGAATGAACTCATTTCAGATGCACCATCCAGAACTTTGTCAACACCACTTCAGACCTCCCTTCTTTTTTTGGCCTTGATTTCTACCTGGGACTTCCATTCCTCCAGGATGCTGACCTCTCTCCCAGCTTTGACATGGACACCCTTCAAATTCAATGTCTGCAAGGCCACACCAATGTCCTCCCGTGTTGCAGACCAGCTAATCCTTAAGGTCCTCCCACCATTGGTCATCCCTTCTCTGCCAAGTGATCCACTTGCTCAATGCTGCTGATAATGTTGCCTGCAAATCTGTTGTGAAGGCTCTCAACAAGACCCCTCTTCAAGACTTAGAGTCTTTGAAATGGGGCATCGTTCTGCCCACCCGATGCAGCATTTTTCTGCTTGTATCACGTACATTCTGCTGGTAATAAAACCGAAAATAGCACAGAGTATACTCTTGAATGGCTGAAGACAGTTAATCTTGTCGCAATATCACCTACCATTCTCCAACTCAACTACTCCTTCGTTCAAAAAGTGTGAGGATTGATCTCGCAAACTTTGCCGTGAAAAGGCGAAGTGATAGCCACTACACCAAGAAACCATAGCGCCATTCACGTTTAATAATAACTGACTGTCCACAATATTGTTGTTATTGCAGACATTTAATACAAAACAACATTTCATTTATTACAAAATTACAGCAATTAGCACTAAGCAAATATCAGAATCAAAGTTAAGACAAGTTTCTGACAACAAAATCTTCTTGTCAGCTTCGCGCTAAGCGGTCCAAGTAAACTTATAATTGATGAATATGGGGTTGATTTGTGGTTCTTTCACGGCGAAGGTTGGTTTGTGGTTGCTGATTTTGAATGAGGTGAGAAGATAGATTTCCATTGTCAGAATAAAATAATACCTTGATTTGATACAAAGGAAAATACGTTCATGTGGTTTGCGTGTTGCGCAAATGAAGAGCTGGAAGGTGTGGTTGGAAGGTTGAAATTGAACCCAAGAGAACTTGTAGTCCCAAACACATAGGGTGCATCTTTCTCTGATGGTTTCAAAGTTGCACCACTTGCACCACTTGCACCACTTGATAATCCATTCACAAAGGTTGGCAGTGCGGAAGGGGGGGCAGCTTGTCCAAATATAAACGGTTGAGAAAATGGGACAGAGCCAGTCCCGAACACAAAAGAGCTGCCGGGCTTTGTTGCTGTGGGCATGTTTTGAGTAGATTTTGTGCCAAACGTCTCTTGGAAAGTAGGAAGCGGCTTATTGAACTCAAACTTGTTTGACTGTTGATGTCCAAACACAAATGGGGTAGGTGAATGAACTGGAGGAGTTTTTAGATTTGGCTGAGGTAGTTGGGTATTTGTGGATCCTGTGCTTCCGAAAACAAACACTGGTTGTGATGACGATGCAGTCTGGGAAGAGGAACCAAAAACTTTGTCCGACTTCAGGTTCTGAATGGGTATAGACGCTGTGGCAGCAGCAGTGAACTCAGATGTTTGACCAAAAGCTGGTTGCAAGGCTGTATTTCAGGGTTATCAAAAGTTCTGAAATGTTACAAAGTAGCTTACAGCGTATTTCAGAAGCGAACCATCCATTTTTGTTCGCTTTTTGTTTGGCTTTGGGGATATCTTTGTTGTGAGGGAGAAAGGAACTGATGAAGTTTGTGGTGGATGGGGTTTCAATTCCGGCACAGACGTTGTTTCAGCAAACGTAAATGATGGAAGGGAATTCATAGTTGATGGACCGTTTTGAACACCAATAACATTGCGATGCCCAGGTATGTGTTCGTTTGGTTTTGGGAAACTGTATTGTTTTTTGAAGAGCTTGAATTTCGCGCCCTTTGCCTCCAATTCTTTTACTGCAACCTGAAACGCTGGTGTTTGACTCAATTCTTCTATACTTGCCTGCAAATCACGAGAAGTAAGCTTTTCGATTGTGGTGTTCATCATGGACACCATTTCATCCTTCAAAGCTCCTACAGCTGTTGTGCACAAGTCCAACCACTCCTCAATTGCAATACTCCAATCACCAGAGCTACAACCAAACGAGTTTTGCTGGGCTTGAACAGTCAATATAATATCCCAGATGGCAAGGAATGGCTTCCAACCAACAACAGGAACTCGCCCAGAATAAACATTCATAAATCTATCCAGATATTGTTCGTCGAGGGTGAACTCATCATGAATTTTCAGTTGCTTGACTCCTTGTCGAATCAGAGCAGAAATGTGGCTTCGAACGGAATCTCCAGTCAACTTATCCAGAACTCCATCTTTACCGTCCACGCCAATAGAAAAGATGAAATACTTCCATTTGGGGCCCAAGGAGGTTTTAGCGTCCGCCATTCGCGAGAATCAATCAGTTTCCAATCAACATCAAGCATAGTGTTTGACGAGTTGAGAATGATGGCTGAGAGTTGGGATAATTTTGAGTTCCACTCCTTAAGCTTCACATCAATAGCAGAATGCATAAGTGCCAGAAGTTTAGATTTCGAGATTGATTCGTCGGTGGTTCGTACTTGCAATGCTTGCAGAAGTTGAGTTTCGGAGTTGAGAAATACAATTGATGTATTAATTGAGGAGTCGGTATGTTTTTCAGATCGTCAAATCGGCGAACAAAGGGACGCACAGAAGCGACGTATATATGGTATGAAGTGATAACTGGGGGTGAATCGACGACTTTGCTGTGGCTCTGTCAAGCAGTATCAAAACCTGAATGTCCCCGCCCCTCTTTACTAAACCAACCTTGATGAAAAACTCGTATTCTCCACATTCCTGATGCTGAAGAAGTACTGTTGCTCCCAAGACGTTTCCTGGTCCATTCCAGCATTGCCTGTAAACAGCTGTTCCCTTCTTGCGGTAATATATACTGAAAGTTACAATATGCGGTGTTGTATTCTTCCACGTAAAAGTAAATTCGGTCCTGAAAGCGGATCTGAGGGAAGCCAAGGGCTGGTCTCGGATCTTTGACAACGTCACCATGAAAGCAGTTGGGGGACGAATCGGAGTTGGTGGAGGAGGCGGTGGTTTCGGTTTCGGCGGAGTTTGTTTGTGTTGATTTGGAGGGGGATTCGGGGTTGATGGTTGGTGCGAGAAGAGCGGGCGCAGTTTGCGTACTGGATCGCACAGGATTTCATACGCCTGGAACAAGTTAGTTGAGGACAAACGAGTTATTAAAGAGTATCACTTGATTCAGAAGTGCCATCGTTTCATGGTTGCCGCCCTATAAGGTGGGCGGGATTCAGCTTCAGATCCTACAACTACACTGCAACTGTTCTCACTTTGTCCGGATGATGTTCCCTCGATAACTTGTAGTATTGCTTCTTGATTTCCACGGAAGTGGCTGTACGGGGCAGGTCCAGTACTCTGAAAGCGTCATAGGTCAAACGAGACATATCTTTGAAATGATGTTTATTCCTTCAAAATTTCAGAGAATAATCTCTTCACACGACGGGGATACCGACTTGAGAAGCTAGTCGTTAATAATATCAAAAAATGGCGAATTTGGGCATAAACGGGGAAGCCGCCGCAGGCCAAACCAAAATTGAAAAATGGACCAAATTTGATCAAATCTGGTCATTCCCAGCAGCACCAAATTTTGGTCCCATAGTAGCTTTATTCTGGTCGATTATGGTCAACCAAACCTTCCCTAGACCCGACCCCCCTACCTCACCAACCGAAACCCCAAACCAAACCTTCCCTAGACCCGACCCC